CCCCCTTCCCCAAGCCATGCGCTCGACAGTTCAATGCTCCAGTAACACTCTACCTACTGCCACTACATTATATGAATTTGCTGTTTGAATGTTTATTTAATACAGTAGAGAGACTTAGTGAGTCTGGTTGAGATGAGCCTGGGACAGTTTTCATTTGACCATGAACTCAGACCAGCCGTGTTTCCTTGTTCAGGGCATTGACAAGGGCTTGCTTCTGCATATTCCAGCGTCTGTTATTGCACAAAGCTTCAGAGTGTGCATCAACTTTAACACTGCTGCTCGGCAACCTTGGATCCTGCCCACAGCCCTCCATCATGTGCGATCAGACAAGCCACTCCCTCACATAATTCCAAGACTATGCACCCCAAACATCGGATTATTGAGAACGAGCGCAATGTACGCTGCGTGATTGTATGTGAGTGCAGAGTCTCGCTGGAGCAGTGCGCCAAGTGCAAATCAAATTCTCCTTGTTTGAATTGGTCATCGTAGTGGCGATGTGGCATGCTTGGGTGACACGAATCGAAGAGCGACTTCTAGGTCGCAATTTTGTAATTATGGGACGCGTCGTGAGATATAGAAGAGTATTGGATTGGATGAGCGCATGGTACGGGGCATTGTGAAGGCTCCCTCGACCCTGCATCGGTGGAGAAGGTGCTGAAAGGCACGTGGCACACCCCACTCGCCGACCCACGAATTTTTGTCCATGGACTACCACGTACAGCTGATCCATTTGGTAAATACCGTTCAGAGGCTGAAAGGCATGCCTCATGAGGTTTCCCCCGGTCTGTGCCGTACGGCTACTGGGCGGCGAAAGTGAAATTCCTCAGATCTTCCAGCCCACGTCAGCTCATGGCCGCGGCTTGCGTAACGGGACATCAGGACCTGGGAGCATATAAGCGGGGCTTCACCATGGCAAATGGTACACAACCTCCATTTTCTCAAACCATTCCCCTCTATAACCCTTAATTCCTCCCTCCCATACACTCTTCGAGACCACCATGTCTTCCAAGGTTGCCATGCTCCTGCTGGTCTCTCTGGCCGTCGTTGCCGTGAACGGTGAGGCGTGGAGGGATTTCGGGGGGCATTCATGTCGTGACAATACATTATAAGTTTGTTGGTACTGCTTTTCGCGCCGCCAAGGTTCGGGTTCGGTCTGCTGCGAGAGTCGGAAGGGTGGTCGGCTTCCATGAGGGGAATCTACTTTGTCGGCCAATGTTACCGCCCCCCTCACCCCATTGTCTCCGACCCCGCTTCCACAGGCCAGGGCAACCAATGTGTGCCCCTGGGTGGACGCCTGCTGTCCATCTGCGACGCTGAGCTGTGCGTGGGGGTGGAGGTCCCGGTCGGGCCGAGTTTCGGCTTCGGGATGGGTGGGCCCTTTGACTCGACCCCGGCGCGAATTATGCGCACGCTCCACCGACCTCCTCCTGAGCATGTCCATCATCATCCCCCCCGCCGCGCCTAGCAATCTCACCCACCCGCCTTTCCGCGCTCCCCCTCAACAGGTCCTTCCTGCGCGAGATCTACCCCCTGGACAGCACCGCGCCCCCCACCGCCGCCCAGGTGCAGCAGGTGACTGATACCAAGCCCGCCGACCTGCCCACCGAGGCATGCTGCACCGCCGTGAAGGCCTTTGACGGCGCCCGCTGCCCCTGCGACGCCAGCATCCCCACCCTGCTCGGCACCCTGGGTCTCTCCACCACCTCCACCGGCCTCCAGGGCGTCACCTCGTTCACTGGCCCCCTCTGCAAGTTCACCCCCGTGACCTGCTGATCGGCCGCAAACCCAAATCTTGTGCAAATTTTGTTGTCAAATGGGGAGTGAAACCTCCTAGGTATGTCGTCCCCGTGCAGTGTTTCCCATAGTGATCTCAAGCAGGGTGAAATCGGTGTGTGCCCGAGAATGTATGTGTGTGTAAGCCGATCCAAACACTTTTGACTGGTTGAGGCCAGCGCCAGGGACATCAGCAAGAAGTGTTTGGCGAGTTCAGGGTGCTGAGGGGATTTGCCAGCAGTGTGATGCCTCTGGTGACCAGTCATCATTCTGTATGTACAATCACGGACTTCATGGGTTCTTGAAGTATACAGAGGAGGTCATGCAAAGGATACATACCCAGCGGCACAACAACAGCGCTGCTGATGGGCGCAACAGAGTTTGAGGCCTGTGCACTGGCAATCATCTTCCACGTTGTCCAGGCAGCTATTCCTCATCCACAGTGAGCACAACCTTGCCCTTGGTGTGGCCCTTGCCGACATACTCGTGGGCGGCTGCCGCCTGACCCAGGGGCAGGGTGCGATCGATGATGACCTTCACCTTCCCCTCAGCGACGAGGCCGACGATGTCTGTCAGATCCTTCCCGCTCGCCCTGCCGAAGATGGGGTGGAAAGAGGGGCCCAGGCGCGCGATGGCGGTCAGTTTCCTGTGCACATTGGAATGGTGGGGCTGGAGCTGAGTGTGCCATGGGACCGCAGCGCACATGTGCTGACCAGCACTCCACACCGCCATCACACAGGGGCAGCATCATGGCAGCATGCTGGACATCAGCCTCATGGGAGGCCCTCTCCCGTTTGCCCCACGGTGCAGCCACGCACTGTCTCAGGAAGCTGTAGGCGTGAACGGCGCGGCCCCCCCAGCCATAGTCGCGGACGTATCCGTTGCTCTCAACCGAGGCCAGGGCACCGTTGTGCTTCAGCACCTTTCGCGCCTCCCACAGATCTTTGCCTGAGTGAGTGAGAGGGGGACAGTTGACAGTCACAATAGAGACATCCTACCATGCGTTCAGGAGTCAGGGTAGGCTGTCAGGCACAGCGTGCGCTCCACACCTTACCCACCTCCACGACTGTCGATCACGGCATCGAATGGGTTGTCCTTGTACAGCTCCACCAGGTTCTTCTTGTGGTAGTCGTACACCTCATCCGCTCCAAGATCCTAAAAAGGTAGTTGATAGCAATAACGGCTGGACTCGTGTCTGGCATGTATGACACTGAGACCCCCC